CTTTTACACTGTTGGTGGGAATGAAAGCTGGTATAGTCACTCTGGAAAACAGTATGGAGATTCCTCAAGATGTTAAAAATAAAGCTACCCTATGACCCAGCAATTGCACTAGTAGGTATTTATCCCAAAGATACAGATGTAGTGAAGAGAAGGGACACATGCACTGCAATGTTCATAGCAGCAATGTCCACAACAGCCAAATTGTGGAAGAAGCCAAGATGCTCTTCAACAGATGAATGGATAAAGATGTGGTCCATATATACAATGGAATATTATTCAGCCATCAGAAAGGATGAATACCCACCATTTACATCGACATGTATGGACCTGGAGGGGATTATGCTCAGTGAAGTAAGTCAGGCAGAGAAAGACAATTATTATATGGTTTCACTCAAATGTGGAACATAAGCATTAGCACAAAGAACTGCATGGGGAGGGAGGAAATCTGAAGGAGGAGAAATCAGAGAGGGAGATGAACTATGAGAGACTATGTTCCCTGGGAAATGAACTGAGGGTCTCAGAAGGGGGTGTGGTGGGGTGCAGAGGTAACAAGATGATTGGTATTAAGGAGGGTATATGTTGTGGTGTTCACTGGGTATTATACATAACTAATGAATCATTGAACACTACATCAAAAACTAATGATATAGTGTACAGTGGCTAAGTGGATAAAACAAAATAAAATAAAAACACTTCTTTCACTTAAAAAAAGAACTCATACAACTCAATAACAAAAACAAAACAATCATTAAAAATTGAGCAGTCCCATATGGTTTGTCTCCCTCTCTCCTATTTCTTCCCCTTCAGTTTTCCTTCCCTTCCCATATGAGACTCTTGACTCTGGGAAACAAAGTGAGGGTTGCAGAAAGGAAGGTGGGTGGGGGATGGGGTAACTTGGTGAGGCAATCAGGAGGATATGTGATTTGATGAGCACTGGGTGTTATACACAACTAATGAATCATTGAACACTACTTCAAAAACTAATCATGTTCTATATGATGGCTAATTGAACATAATAAAAAAATCACACAAGGAAAAAAAATTAAAAAAGAAAACATGCAGATGGCCAAGAGGTACATGAAAAGGTGCACAACATCATTAATCATCAGGGAAATGAAAATCAAAACCAAACTATACCTTGGCTAATTGAATTTAAATTAAAAAAAATGAGCTATCACCTCACACCTAGTTAGAATGGCTATTATCAAAAAGGAAAGAAATAACAATTGTTGGTAAAGATGTAGAGAAAACGGACCCCTTGTGCACTGTTGGTGAGTAAATACTGTGGCCACTATGGAGAATGGTATGGAGTTTCCTCAAAAAATTAAAACTACAACTACATATGATCCAGAAATTGCAATTCTGAGCATCCAAAGAGAAAGAAATCACCAAAACTGAAAAGATATATGCACCCCCATGTTTACTGCAGCATTATTTACAATAGCCAAAACATGGAAGCAGCCTAAGTGTCCATTGATGAATGAATGAAGAAAATTTGGTTCAACTATAAAGAACAATGAAATCTTGCTATTTGAAGCAACGTGGATGGACTTGAAGGAAATATGCTAAGTAAAATAAGTCAGTCACAAAAAGACAAATATGATCTCCCTTATATGTAGAAACTAATTTTTTTAATGAGCTTATAGGTACACAGGAAAGATTGGTCATTGCCAGAAGTGGGAGGTAGGAGTTGGTTGAAATGGGTGAAGAGATCAAAAGGTACAAACTTCCAGTTATAAAATAAATAATTCATAGGGGATATAATGTACAGCATAGTGACTATAGTAATTAATACTCTATTGAATATTTGGAAGTTGCTAAGAGAGTAGATCTTAGGAGTTCTCATCACTAGAAAAGATTTTGTAACTATGTATGGTTATGGATGTTAACTAGACATTGTGGTGATCATTGTGTAACATATACAAATATTAAAACAATGTTGTACATCTGAAGCTAATAAAATGTTATGTGTTGATTATATCTCAATTTAAAAATATAATGATGCCAGATTTTCCCTGGGAAACCAGAAAACATGTTTTCCATACATTCAATAAATCATTCCTATGACTGTGCGTATCTCATTCTAAGAATCGAAATCTTTAAGTCCAAAATACCAGAGTATCCATGGCCCTCTCCAGTCTAGTCCCCAGCGTAACTCTTGTTAGAATACATTGAACTTGAACCAAACTAAACTGGTTAGCCAAACACTGGCCTTTTTCCTGCTTCTGTGTCTTTGCTCACAGAGTTCCCTCCACTCATACCTTTTATTCCCCTCCGCTGATTAAAACTCTTTCCACCATTCAAGGCCAAGATCAAATATAACTTCTTCCATCAAACCTTCTCTGTTAGCAACTGAAGGGGATCTCTCTGGTGTCTGAAGTCCCGTGGGCCATTTTGTACTTTGGATCTAGTCTTTGAGGTCCACCTTTCTGAATAAAGCAAAAGAATTTTCACATTGCCAGAGAGAACGCAAACTCTAGGTGAATAGGTGCAAATGAAGAGCTGAGCCAGCCCCAGATTCATGACAATGCCAGGAAGGAAGGGAGGAAAAGAGGGAAAGAAGGAGGAAAGGAGGAAAGGATGGTGAGAGGTAGCCTAGGTCACCTGAAAGGGTTAAGATATGGCTTCCTGGAAACTGGTAGTTGTTGTTAGGGAAGTGGGAGTGTGGTGGTGGTAGGGATACTGGATTATCACTGGGGGCCAATGCCAACAAGAAACTAAAGGCCAAGGGGAATATTTCACTCCAGGAACAGACATATCACCTCTGCCTTCTCCTCTTCATGCCTCCTAGTGAAAGTTGCCTCAGAAGATTTCTCATCAGACTTTGAAATGACCCATTCCAGCCCCTGTCCTATTGTCCAAATGGGAATGGTCAGGCCTGGGGAGGGGAGTAAAATAAGGAACCAGGCCTTGAAGTTGTCTCTTCTCACCAGCAACACAGGCAACTGGAAAAATAACAGCTAGGGGTAGTCTGGAGAGCTGGGACAATTATGGGAACTTGACTTTGTCAGGTTCTCAGTCTGCTCATCTGAGTTCCAGCCCTTCCTTTCTGCCTAGAATTTGGTGTGCTCTTACATCCTTCTCAAATGTTATTCCTTTTGAAATGCCCAGAGTATCTACATGCTTTCATGGGTCAGCCAGAGAATCCATGTCCCAGATGCCATAGGAGAGTTCTCCCTGGCCAGGCCCCATTTGAAAGATGTACTTTCCCAGGGGCCTATAGCAGATAGAACTGCTGAAATTGACTCCTAATCCTCAAGAGCCCTAAAGGGATGGGAGACAGAGCAAAGCATGGGGGTCCAGGACAGTTCATTCCTCAGGAGACCAGATTGAAAGAAAGGTAGAAAAGAGCTATGTCTGTCTTCCCTGAATCCATCTGTCTGTGTTTATAGCTAAGTCCTTCAATTATTTTGCTCCTTGTAGATAAACAGTTGCATACTCTCTAAAGCAAAGATGAAAATCTGGAAGCTGAGTGGAACAGGACTATGGAGATAGATGTCCAATTTTCTTACCTTCCTTCCTAAAGTTTCTCAGGCACTAGGAGCTAGGGAGAGTGGGGGAGGTAAGGAGGCAAATCAGCTCAAGAACTTATCCTCTGCCTCCATTTTCTCATAATAGGAGATCATGATGTAGAGGGACTGTCAAGGCAGCTCCTAGGAAGAGCTCTAAGCATCTAAAGATTATCTGGGGTCTCCTTCTCCACTCTGTCATCTTATGTCTCTTTCACTATTTGTCCATATCCCCAACCAAGGTTGTGCAGGAGAAATACAAGAAGGTACTGTTAGATGCCTAGATCTGAATTTGGGTGGTTATTTATCCTGGTCCAGGATCTTGTCCACATCTTGGGGGGACTGACCACTGTAGGAAGCATTTTCCAGGTCCTCTCATCAGTCGTCTGGCTGGGTTCAATGAGGAACTGGGTGAGATATTAGAAAAATGAAGAAACCATGGTATTTAGCCTCTGCTTTTGTGCCTCTGGTTGTATCTCTGGAGTGTCTCTTCTGTGGCTCCCAATGTATGCATTTCCAATTCTACTATGTGATCCCTGCTCCTGACTCAGAACATACCACTTTTTCCCACTGCCCCTCCATTCTTCATCTTCCCTTGCTCAGCCCTATGCAGCAAGTTGGCTGATCCCTGTGAGCTGTTTCCTAGGCTCTCATATTCGTTGACTTCTATTTTCCCCCAATGAGAGTGACATTGGAGACAGACTGACAGGCAGCAATGAAGAAAAGGGGAGGGTATTTTTTTCCTTTCTTCTGGTTTGACCAGCATCTTTCTTCTGTGGTTCTAGCACCCAGGGACAAGTCTATGATTCTGCTTTCCATGAGGGGACCCCTGTCCCAGGATTCTGACCATACCTCCTCCATCATCTCTTCAGTTTAGGGATAGTGTTGGCATCCTGCTGTAACTAATTTCTGGGTTACCTTCCTGTCCTGCTCGGATTCTGAACCTATCCTCTATGTAACATATTTCTTACCTGCATTAAATTCTCTGCTATAGACATTTAGTAGTTTGTTTTCCCAGTTATGTCTTTCTTTAATTTTTTATTTCTTTTCAGTATCCCAGAATTCATTGTTTATGCACTACAATTATATCTTGACTATAAACTGGACTAGTGGGTATGCAGTCTATGATTCAAGGTGAATGAATGGAAGGATCCTTAGTTACTTGACTCAGAGGAATAGGGGGTTGGGTGACAGCCCCAGAAAGGGTGCCTTGTAGCAGTCAGAGAAGTGAATGGAGGTACAAGGCTGGGCAAGCAGATGCTACACTTGCATCCACTTTAACTCTTTAGGACCTTGCTTCTTAGGACAACACAGCTCTAAATTTTCTTGAGAATCTTGAAGGAGGTGTGAGTCATTGGGTTACTTTTTTTTCCCCCTTTCCATAGCCAGGACTCCTCTGCCTGTCAAATGCCAGATAATTACCATCAATCCCCTTGGCCAACCAGACTGCTTTCCCCAGTGAACCTCCCCCCCCATACACATAGAAGTCATAACAGCCACCAGGATTTATTTTGATGAGGATTTTATTGTGGAGGATAATACAGGAGAGCAGCTGTAGGTGAATAGGTGTAGCTGTAGTGTCCTCCAGCTACCTGGATCCCCAGGTGGTTTTTGTAGGCATTGTGGGTTTATGGTAAGGCTGCAAGATTACACTTGGTGTTTGAGGTAACTAATCAACACAGGGGGAATGTCCAACTGGTCAAGGGCTTGTGGTTGGCTGGTCTGGAGCAGAGCTCTGCGGATAACTAAACGGGCCTGTGATAGTAGTGACCGAGGAGTGGCTATGGCAAGAAGAAACAAGTCATAAGAAGGAATTCTCAGTGTAATTCTCCCATCTAAGCCTGCATCCACCCTGCCCTGGCTCCTGCAGCTCTAATTGCTTTCTCCCTTCTATGAACCGTGCCTCCCCCCCACACCATCCTCAATGCATGGTGCCAATAGGAACACACATGTGTTCAAGGCCACAAAACAGTCATTGGCAGAGCCAGAACCAGAAATTCTGTTAATGCTACTCCCACCTTATCTTAGTGATCCCTTCCTTAATAAAGAATCATCTTCTCCAATGGGGTCCTAGGAGAGGGAGGAAGATGGTTGTTTCTCCAACTCATCATAGAAGGATTGGCTTCGGGGGGGATTTGTGGCCCTTGGACCTCAAAGCCAGAAGGTCCATAGACCTGATATGCTTGAAACTTACCTCGGGCCTGTAACAGCAATGCACTGCCTTTGTAATCTTGCAAGTTCAGGTCCCCCGAGAGAGATGGAAGGTAGATATTAGCACCAAAATCAATTAACAACTTGATGTATTCTGGTTCACAGTTATGGTGGAGACAGATTTCCAGGAGGGTGCGGGGCTGTGGGACACGAGCCAATAGGCTCTGGTCAGTACAGTTGTAGTTGGGGTCTCCCCCATGAAGCAAAAGCAGGCGAAAACAGTCAAGATGCCCATAGACTGCAGCCAAATAGAGGGGACCGGAACATGAAGCTATGTTTGATGCCCAGACTGGTAGTTTAGCCTTGACATTGGCCTCTGCACCATGGCCCAGGAGTTCCTGAAGGATGGCAGCAGCACCATCACGGGCAGCTGTGAGTACGGGAGAACAGTTGTTGTAGATGCTACCACCAGGACAGGCACCAGCTTCCAAAAGCACACGTACACAGTCCAGGTGGCCATGATTCACAGCAGTGAAAAGTGGTGTCTGTGCCTTGACATCCAAACTGTCAACATCAGCACCATGTGCCAGGAGGACCTGCAAACACCTGAGGTGACCATAAGAAGCAGCCAAGCGCAAGGGTGTCCCAGGAACACCCCAACCACTTCTACTGTTGATGAAACGTTTGTAACGCTCCTGGCACAAAAGCTGGTCCAAGGTATAGGAGTCATTGTCATACACTGCTTGATTGAGAGCCTGTTTCTCCCCCATGTCGGTGTCCTCCTCCTCCTTGTCGGGCTGCAGGAGGGAGAAAATCTTGGTGATGTCCATGAGGTTCATCCTGATTGATTGGAGCAGAACTATTCTCATTATGAGCAGGAGGATATGCCAGGTCTGTGGGTGACAAATATTGGGGGAAGACTGAGGGCCCACATCAAAAAGCCTGGATGCCAGCCCTTTCCCCCCACCATTCATCATCAGGCTCTTCACTCATGGGCCCCTTTCTTCCAATTCCTACTTCATCTTATTTTAGGGCTCAGAGATAGCTTCCAAAACAGATCAGGCCATTTCACAGCTTGGTGCCTTTGTATATGTTGTTCTGCTTGACTTTCATCTCCTACTTCTGGGAAGCTTTCCCTAATCTCCTCTTCTTGCTCAGGGATTCCAAAGGATCACATCTAGACTTTAGCTATGAACTTTCACACTATATTTGCACTTATCTGTGCTTCAGTGCATAAATTCCAAGATAAGGAATGCTGTATCCATCTTGTATTCCTCCACTCCCAGAAAGACTCATGATTGGGGATTTGATAGAGGCATCTTCTTTATTTCAGAATGTGTAGACTAATGAAATGGCTCTGGTCTGGCAGTTGCTAGGCCAGAAGAATGTTGTTTTGTGTTGTCAAGTTGTCATCCCTAAGCGTTCTGACATTAGTCTCATGGGGCGGGCCCTCAATTCCATCTGTCAGCCTTTTAGATGAAGTTCAACCTCCTCACAGTCCTTTATATGTGACCTCCCGTTAGACTCAGGCCTCATGCTTAGGCAACAGAGTTACACAGGAAATGGATGCTGAATGACATTTACTGATTAAGTAAAGATGACATTACAAAGAACACTTCAAGTAAAATGAAATCAAAGAGATGGCAGGAAATAGTCATTTCCAGGGCAAATCCTCTTTGGTGGACAACTGGTTTATCCCCCAGGACCACTTCAATACAAAAGTTGCTTCGATTCCCAGCACTTCCTTGGATCCCATGGAGTCCCCATCCCTTTGAGTCAAACCTTTTCCCATCATCTCTGCCCAATACAGCTTAGAGTCTTTGCCTCAACCCTCAATTCTTCTCTCACCATTATTCCTAGGCCTTATAAAATTATCCATGGCCCAATAACTGACTTAACCCTTTGACCTTACCTGGCTTATTCCTAGTGCTCCAAAGACAAAGTCACCCACCTCAGTTTGTAATGTCATCAGGGTAAGCTGGTAGGTTTTTCAGATCTCAAGTCTCCTTACTCTCCCATACCCTGCAGCCATGGTCTCAGGGCCACATATCTCCTTTTATTCACCATCTACCTCCACCCCTCTTTGTTAGCCTGGTACTTTAGGTACATACCTCATAGAAAAAAACTGTGAAGTGGGTGGGTGGGGACTCCCTCAACTTTAGGCCCCTTCTCACCCACTAGCATCAACTCCATATATGGTCTTATTATTTGAGATATGCAATAATAAGTAGAGGATTTTAAAAATCAGACAGACCTAAGTTTGCAACTCAGCACCCCCAGTTCCTAGCTCAGAAGACTTGGGCAAATCTCCTCCCTTCTTCAGGACTCAGTTTCCTCATCTACAAGACAGAAATGATTGTCCCTGCTTCATGGTGCTGTTCAGAGGAAAAGAGCTACCTTAAAGGTGAGTTTCCTCTATCTACCCCATCAGCCTCCTCAATGGCTCCTTCCCCTCAACCATTTTAGGAAACAAAACACTTCTATGGTCCTTTCTCTTACTCTAGTTACCTTTCTCTTCATCTCTCTCTTTTTCACTGAACGTATCCAAAAAGTTGTCTACCATCTACTTCCTTATCTCCTATTCATTTCTTTACCCTCTGCAGTCTGGCTCCACCTTTCCTCCATCACACTGAGATGGTTCTTTAAAAATTCATCCTTGTGGTTAAATCTGCTGGCTTCTTCTCAGATCTTTCTTTCTGTGACCTTCCTGGTACATCTGTCCCCGCTAACCACTTTCTCCTACATACTCCTCCTTTGGTTTCCTGACCAGCACAATCTCCTGATTTTTCTCCCCTATGTTCTACCCTGACATAGTTATGCTCCCCTTTGTTCTCTCCTTGATCCTCTTCTTTCCAGTCCCAGAGCTCCAGCTCTCATGTTAATTCTGATGATTTCAAGTTTATCACTCCAAGCCCCCCAGCTCTCTTTTCAGCAAAATGTATTCACTGAGTTTCTTCAGATACTTCAAAGTCAGCAGTATCACATCACCATACATCACCATTCATCACCAAATTTGATCTGTATCTGTTTCTCACTATTCATCCGGTCAACCAAACCAGAAACCCAAGACTCATCTCAGTCCTTTTATATCTTTGTCTTATGTTCATCCAATTACTCATCAAGTCTTAAGGATTTTACTTTCTAAGACCTCTATAGACCATGCCCTTCAGACTTATCCCCATTGCCAGTGCTTTACCCAAGCACCTATCATTCTTTGTGTCAACTATTATAGTAGTCTCTTAGCTGTTTTTCCATCTCAATATTTTCTCCACATTATAACTAAAACAATCATTTAAAAACACAAATCTTGTCTGTGTCAGTCCCCTGTTTTAAATCCCTTAATGGTTCCATTTTCTCTCAGAGTATAGCCCAAATACTTTGACCTGGTTCACAGGTCCTTTATGAGCAAATCTTGGCCAGTAACATCTCCAGGCTCACTTCCTGCTACTCCTCTACTTATACCTCATGATCCAGCAATAAGGGAAAATAAACGACAGCTCTCTATATACATCATGCTTCTTTCTGTCACATGCAATTTCTTCTGATGGGTTAGTTTCTCCAGAGTTTGTACTCTTATATAACCATAGCAGTCATGAAACTGCTTTGTAACTCTTTTATATGGGTCTGTTTTATACCCACTGCATAATGAGAGGACATATAAAGTAGTGGTAAGACATTGTCTGGAATTCTGCTTCAATCCCAGCTCCACTACTTAGTAGTTGTATAACCTAGAGAAGATCACTTAATCTCTCTGTGCCTACTTCTTCATCTCTAAAGAGAGGATGATAGAGTACCTGCTTCAGGGAGTTATTGTTAGGATTAAATGAGTTAACACTTAAATTAATAATTAAATGAGTTAAGCATTTAAAATAGTACCTGAATGTAGTAGTCAGTAGCTCAGTAATTGTAGTACCAAGTGATTATTATTACCTAGGTCTCCAATTTCTACTATTGCTCCCTTACTTAAAGTTCTATAAATTCAGAGAAATGCTTCAATTCATTTAATTCCCTTAGTTTAGAGATTAAAAGCCCAAGGCTCAGAGGAGAGCAGGGACTTCTTTCTAAGGTCACATGGCTGTTATTGTCAATTGTCTCATTAGCAAGAACCCAGAATACACCTATAATCTTGTGCTTTTCAAACTTATCTCACATGGTGGGACAGGTAGTATCATCCCTATTTTGTGGGTGAAGAAAACTGAAGTCTGAAAAGGAAGGGATTTGCCAGGTGCCTTACATCAAGGAAATAGCAGAGCCAGGAATAGATACATGTTTCCCTACTGCTCATCCTGTTCTTTCTACTGCAACATTAAAAGCAAACACGTGCCCCTTTCCCTTGCCTTAAGTAGAGTTACATTGCAGTTCCCAGAATCCTTAGTTTTGAGGATCATGCTGAATTCCAGGGACTTCGGTCATGGAATATTTCTTTACAGATCATTTCTTCTGACAGCCAGTGGGGATTCCCTTGCTATTTGGTGGAAGAGGAGGCTGGTTCAAGGGAGATGAAGAAGGCAGGGAGTATGGAAGGAAATGCTGAAGCTCTCACAAAGGTCATACCAGAAGTCCACAGCAGGGCTAATGAGCCCCATCTAATGAGCCTCCAAAGGGAGATCAAGTCATGGACCCCAGCTGACTTGGACACTTGAGTGAACTGTGCCTTACCAGATAGGGTAAAAAAATCTAATTAGTCTATTGTCTAACTTCACCTTGCTGTAGTTATTAAGCTAAGAGATATTATGTGACCATTCTATGCAAGGATCCCCTTCCTGATCCCCAAAAGGCAAAGGTTTTAAAACTTTTTTTGTGACATTGACCTTTATGGCGATTTGGTTAAGTCTCTTGTCTCCTCTCAGATTGTTTTTTA